TAACGTGAGGTAATTCACTTTCCTCCGTAAAAGCTAGTTCAATTTCATCAATAAGCCGGTCGCCGACCTCGGTCGCGGGCATTGAATCGGCCCCGGTAATAGCTGCCGCCCCGAGCGTAGACACACGAATGTAATGAGATCCAATACGACTAGGAAATGCGCGCTAGCATCGGATAACGCGCGTAAATTGCTGGATTTGCTGCTCGGCCGCCGATAAACCTTGCTGCCGCCGACGGCCGCCATAGTTGACCGGTGCGACCTAGGCATGGCATTTACGCCAATGGTAGCGTAAGGTCCCAATAGAACGGGCGATAAATTGACAAAATGGGTCCTTTTCACATAAAATGCCATCCGAAAAAACTGGCAAATTAGCAATTGGGCTATTGACCACGGTTGGTGGCTGCCATGCGTCGCATTCATGCGCCCGGTCGGAGGTTTGAACAACGTCCGCAATTTCACGTGCTATACGCATTGGAAGTCGATGATTAGGTGATTGAAGGTGTCGTAAGACCTCTCTCGGTCTAACAACGTGCTCGCATTTCTTACACACGAAGACTGGGTCTGTCGAAGGTAGGTGAAAAAATTGGGCTGCCATGGTTGACTAGTACAATATATATATCGTAATATAACGAATTGCATGAAATTTGACGAATGTCGAATGCTGGCTTTGGGGTGAAATGGTCTAGAAATAAAGTGCGATGATAGCTAGGGAGCGTCTAAACCCCTAAATTAATTGCTACCCCTCCTGATCATTATGGGCTAGTATTATCGAAGTTGTTCTATTCGTCTACAGTGCTGCGGCGGCGTCTTTGGTAGTAAACGTACGCCGTAAAGGTACAAAATCGCGTACCCCAACAAAACATCTCTAATTTTTAATCGCTATTTTCACCATAATTACTACGCTGTGCATGCTCCGAAGGAAATGGGAGATAAATTAGATGGTCTATTATAACTGACCAAAATTTGAGAGCAATCGGAGGCCTCTAGACCTTAGGAGTCTAACGAGGAAAAGAACCTGGAGTCTAACGGGCCCCACTTTTTATGTCCCATAGTGAAGGGAAAGCCCTAACCTGGAGTCTAGTAGACTCCAGCACCCCCCGTAGGATAGAGACTAAAGGTTTTCTCGTTAGATAGATAGAAAGCGGACCTTAATGTAGGTGCCGAGCTTAATGGTATTGGCAAATATATAGCATTGGCCCCTTAATCTCTATCACAATATAAGGAGGGGGAGCAACCCTTTTTAAGGTATTATATCACTATTTCTATGCAAAAGCTCCAAATATTGAAGAGAAAAGTAATATCTTGATAGAATATCCTTGTGGTTATATGCTATAAGTCCTAGTTAAGATCATAAGTACTCTGTTTATTTTAGCGGCGACTATTTGTAGCTTCCTACTTCCTTAAAGATCTAGCCTAATTATTAGAAGAGCACCTTAGCAAATCCCTTACGGAACAAGCTACAAAGCCCGCTTCCGAGATAGATATAATATATTTACTCTTATTAATACTGTCTCTCACGAATATAATATAGGGAGAGTCGAAAACAGTTTCCCCTCGAGGGACACTAAATATCTTTTGTCTCAATTAGGTTAAGTAGTAAATTGCCACTCAATTAGAGTCCGTTTTCAAATACTATTAAGCTTAACTAAGTCTAATTCCGTTCCGGATACGTACTAGGAGACAAACTATCTGGGTTTAGAGGGGAAACTATTTTCAACTCTGCCTATATTCTAAGAAAAAACATCGTATAGTATAAATTAAAATATCCTATTTTTAGTAGTTCTCCGCCACACTAGCGCTTATCTCCCTTAATATAACTCGTTATATAAGTTTCTGGTGGTTATCAATAGGTACAACTTTCTAGAATAAGAGATACAATTGATAAATCTCGGGGACTAGTCCCACGCCCCACCGAGGAACCGTAACTATTCGGTCCGATATAAATAGTATGCAGAAGCCTATCCTTATTGTGACTAGCTTCGAGTAGGCCGAATGGCCGAGCTATAGTGATCTCACTAATAATATCGAATACGTAGAACTGTATCTAGGTAAACAAATCAAACGCCATCCCGTGCTAAGCATGGTCGGCTAACGCGGCTATAAAAGCGCCATTTACTTTGTCCACAAATAGCTTATAGGACACCAGAGAGCCCATAGCGTATATATTGGAGATCTTCCTACGTTCCGATCCATGCTTCTTATTGCTTGTCTCGGAAAAGATATCCTTATGATCTAATAGCCTACCAAAGGGAGTGTAATATCGGATTTGTTGAACTTCGAGCTAATACCGTAAATGGTGCGAATTGCCGTCGGGTCGCTAATGCTACAACGGTTTGGTGCTAGCCGAACAATGAAGCATATAAAAATTTAGCATATATAAATCTATATCGGGTCGATCAGTCTACTATATTGTTTATATAAAGCAACTGTAACGTGCTCTAATTGGCCTTGCCAGTTCTTGTACACCTCCCGTAGACGAGTTTATCGCGCGAGTGTGGGATCTTTGACATCACGCAAAGGGCTAAAGAGAGCTGCAAGTAGATAGCGCAGGTTTAAGAAGATGCTTGCTCCTGTGATGAGCATCGGCACATCATATTGGAGGTTTGCAAGTTGGGAAATCATATTGCGAAGACCTCAGCGCCAGTCGAAGTTTGGACGATAGAACCCAATAGAAACGAAACCGTCTTAATTATCAGCTCAGTACTTACATCCTTCCACCAACAAGTCATTTCCGACGATTCCGCGGTGAGACCGATGGATCTTGGAAATGGGGAAGTGGCTTGAGCTCGACGTATAAAATGGACACGGCGTACTAGTGATGAACAATACAACTGGAGAAAATTAGGCACAGATCCTGTATCTCAATTACTGTTTCCTACATATCCCATGCCTTTCCGCCATGCGTGTCCCATACATATCTTTTCTACTCTTGACGGCCAACATTGTGGCCTCCTTGCCCAATCCTGGACACTCCAACTCCCGGAAGGCTCCGGACACTGTCGTCATTGACGGCTATCGCCTCGTGGATATACAGGCACAGCTCAACAGAGGCGACCTTAGTCTCAAAGCTTCCTTGGGTCATCTCGTTGCCCAAGCCGATAGTTGGCTTAATCAGGGCCCCTGGACCGTTACTTCAAAAGCCAAGGCACCTCCAAATGGCACGATCCATGACTATGCCTCCCAAGCGCCATACTGGTGGCCTAATCCCAACACTCCAGATGGTTGCCCCTATATCCAAAAGGACGGTGTGCGCAACCCGGAAGTTGACAATTACCCAGACAAGATCAACTCTATTAAATTGTTCAACTCAACATATGTCCTCGCTCTGGCGTGGTACTACACCGGCAACCCAAAATATTCCTATCATGCAGCAGAAATCATTCGTACTTGGTTTCTCGATACAAAGACTGCCATGAACCCTAACCTCGACCATGCGCAAATAATTCCCTGCGCTAACACTGGCCGGTCTATTGGTATCATCGACTTCTCCCAAGACTATACCGAGGTTATCGACGCTGTCGCTATTCTCAACACTGGTGCCCCTGGATGGAGCAAGGCAGACGCAGCAGCATTCCAAGAATGGAACAAACGATTCCTTCTATGGTTAGCCTATTCGCCGTTCGGAGTCAAAGAATCTAGTGCAACAAACAATCACGGCACTTTTGCAAACATGCAAATCACAGCCCTTGCTCTCTTCACTTGCAACCATTCTCTTGCACTCACCAAGGCGGAACTCGCAAAGGAATTTATCAATAACCAAGTCACATCCAACGGCTCCCAACCTCAAGAACTTGCCCGCACGCGGAGCTTCCACTACTCCAACTTCGATCTCACCGCACACCTACGCTGGGCATTAATTGCGCGGAAAGTGGGAGTCGACTTATTTAAGTACAAAGGCCCACAGGGTCAGACGCTGTTTAAGGCTGTGAATTTCCTGGTGCCAGCAGCGACCGGCGGCGCGAGTGATTGGGCGTATCCGGAGCTGCAGTTTACTCAGTATGCAGCAACGGATAATATCCACGCAGCGGCACAGGAAGGCGATCTTACAGCAAAGGAGGCGGTGAAGAATTTGACGCCCCCTCCTGGGGGTGATATTTTTTTGTTGAGGCAGGCCCCGCAACAGTTGGACAATATTAATACTACTTGAGGGGAGAATAATTGGGATTATCATGCAGCTGGCACTCGAGTTTCGTGATTTAGTCAACTGTCTAGATATCTTAGTTCACAGGCATGGTTTCTCCCCCAATGCACTTATATATTGTTCCTTGGTTTCTTGCCAGAGTCTGCCGTCGTCGATCAATGTACCAGGTTTTCCGAATTCCACCCATACCTGCGCCCAAGTCACGTCGAGATGAGAAGTGTTCCCGATACTTGTCCAATATAATAGCAGAAGATGGATACCCTTTTATCAATAGGTGGATCGTGGAACCACACTCGAAGTGCTTTGCTTGCTGGCAATCGGGGGTTGCAAAGTCTACTATGTTCTATCCGCAATTTCTACACCTAGAGCTCTATTTAGAATACATCCCAGTCAGCGAATTAGGAATTGATTTTAAATTTTTCACCGTAATGGCTATCATATTTCGTCTATGACTTCTTATATTGTCTGTCTAAATAACGTTAATAGTCGGCTTATCCCTTTATATTATAAGCCTAATGACGGATCGATCAGGCTCCTAGAGGTCGCGGTCCTAACATATTTATTGTTATTACTGCCCTTCGCATGGAGGAATAGCAATTAGTCTCTCACTATAACGTAGTTCACATGCGAGCGTGTCAGGACCACTACCTGACTGGGGTGTTGACGACGCCTGAGGCAAAAATAGATGCCTCAGGAGGTACGGTGGAATCATGATGGACCTCACCCGCCCCCGAATGGGCCAGTCTATATATAAGCAGTTCTCGCTGGTCCCAGGAAGGACCAGCGTTCAGTCTCTTCATACAATCCACCCTATTGTATTGCACGCATAACTGGGCCATCTGCCTCGCTTACCTACCTGAACCTAGAGACACTGCGTGGTCTCACAGAGCGGTACACCTAAGCGAGCGGCGCACCCTACCAAACTCTTTGTTTTAAATGCATTTGTCTCAACCAAAACGCCATTAAATTCAATAATCTGAAATAGAGGGCTATTAGGACAGGCATTTCTTTTATGACCTCGGATTCCAGATGCTCCAAATTTCGGTAAGGCCCTCGTACGTGGTTGTAAAGGTGCTAGAACTGGTCTTGCCTAGAGGGATATTGGTGCTATGCTTGCTCTAGCTATATTATTAAAGTAAAAGCTTCTAAAACTGAGAGGCCTTCTTCGGCAGATATTTGCTGTGTAGATCGAGTCCTTTCCACATGTGACACCAATAAATATATATATATGCAATCGCACTCAATACTAACAGCCACGAAGGAGGGAAAAAGAACATGCCATGCTTTTGCGTAGCAGCAAGCTGTTCGCACACAGTGCAACAAAAACTAGTAATATGTGTCACATTGGTCTTAAACTATAATGCATGGGATAGCGCAGATCGCATATGCTGTGTGACAATCCACCACTGACAGCGAAGGCCCGCACTCTGCAGATACGAAGTCGTCTAACATATAACGTTAGCTGATATAGGCATATAGATCACTAAGTTTCATAGAGGATGAGAAAATATAATGAGTAATGGAAATATCTCCCGGCTCCAATCATGTTAGGTTCTTTGGATAGTATTCAGGTTAATTAGTCCTTAAATCGAACTCGTCTTCAGTATCGCCTCATCATGCACCATGTTCCAGAAGAAACAAGAGATTCAATTCATACGTAATAATGAATTCGTTGATTTTCCTTTCTAGAGCTCAGACATAATCACGCGATGTGCTTATTGACGCCACCAAATATCTTGACGTTGTGGCCGACGAGATCAACTACACCCTGTAGATGTTTTACTACCGCTTTTTTTTAGATAATTGGACGAAATACAAGTGTAAGTGAAACAGCTGCTAATCTTGCATTGTGGAGAGCAACGATAAACCTTCGGTTCAGGACGGATCTGAAGGCCAGTATTGGTTGGTTCAAGCATTAGTTCGTCTGCTTTAGATGTTGCAGCGAAAGCTGCCTCGTAATGTTCTTCGGAATGCCATCTATTTCGGTGCTTTTCCCCGGCTCGTACAAAAATTGTTGAACGACAGACCCCATACTGCGAGGTTGAAAGGCTTCAATCTCACATGGTCTGAAGATCGGATATCATTTAGATGCTAAACCCTGGCAAGGAAAATTAACCTGAACCCAGGCGGGGCCCACTTTTTTCTTCCCATAGTAAGAAAAAGCCCTAACCTGAACTCGGCCAGAGTTCAGCACCCCCCGTGGGATAGGATTTCAGGTCCCGATCAGCTCTAACACCTGATCGGGGCCCGGTATTAGTCATAATTTAGCAGGTCCCGCTCAGCTAGGTGCCCGAGCGGACTAGTTCTCCAAATGTAACTTAGATCACGTGATTAGATTGCACTCACAGCCCGAGAGAAGCGAGGGCAGAAAGCTTGTATACATAAACCAGACTCAGTTATCCTGCTCTGTCAGGATCACGTGGTATCGCCTCTTAAATCAGATATACCAAAAGCAAGCCTGGTACTGTAGCAGCCATTACCGACGAGAGTAGAGGATGCAGTACATTCCGCCGTGATCCTCACCCTTCAACTCATCTTGAAAATAATTACCTGTAAGTATCTAGTAAGGAACTCATCTCTACCACTCATTCCTGCACAAGCAGTACCACTCCAATTTCCATCTACTCATCATCGCGGATATCGACGACCGTCTGCTTCCATTTGCGAGCCGGGACACCACGCCGAAACAGAATGTCGATCTCACGGAAGGACCTGTGCTTCATCTCTGGAACCCAGATCCAAGCCATGGCGGTGCAGACAAAGGCGGTACCAGCCCAGACGTAGCCGCTCTTTCCGCCCAGGTTCCACTTATCAGTGTTGAGCATGTAGCTGGCAAGGAAGATGCAAGGAATATTGACCAAGTAGTAGGCACCTCGTCCAATACCGGTTGTCAGTGGCCTGAGACGAACGGAAGATGTCTCACCAATGATGACCCATGAGGCAGGGGCGGGTCCCAAGCAGAACAGGACGGAGACGATCAAGCCAAGTGATGCTTGCGCATTGCTAGCCGCCTTACCCCCGCCACATGAAGCCGCAATACCGAGCGCGACCAAGAATGCACAGTTGATGAATTGACCATAGACATAGATGGTGCGTCGGCCGAGGTATGTGGTGAGGACCCAAGAGAGCATGACCATGATCCACTGGAGGGCAGAAGTGATGAGACCAAGTGCAAATGCGGTGTTGTCTGCCATGCCGGCCTCTGAGCTGGTGTTAGTCTGCTATGGGGTTGCAGGAAATGGCTGGACTCACGTTTGAAAAAGTAGACCGCTTGGTTAGCAATCAGATTGCCCGTCAGATTCTGAGATGCGTACACACCGCACACAATCAATGTGCGGTAGCGATCGGTACCTTTCCACAGTTCAACGAGACTGGGCTTCTTCTCAGTCTTCTCGAGTTCGATCGTGCGACGCATCATCGCGACTGCGTCAGCGGGATTATCATTTGCACTCGCGCGTCCAAGGCGTTTGACAGCCTTCTCTGCCTCAGCCAGACGGCCCTTTCGTACGAGCCACCAGGGCGATTCAGGCGCAAGGAAGAGTAGGATAGCGAGGGGAGTAGGGAAAATCCACTGGAGTGCAATGGGAACTCTGGGATGACTGTTAGTACAGTGCTCCTCGATGACATCTATGGGAGCGGACGAACCTGTACGCTGACGAGTCAGGCTTGGATTGGTAGTGGTATGTGATACCGCCGACTATGATCGACCCAATTGCCCAGAACATCTGCAACATCTGCGTCGCTGGAGCTCTCAATCTCATTGGCACAATTTCGGCACAGTAGGCGGGTGCATTGGCAATAAAAATGCCCCACGGGATGCCTTCCAGGATCTGGGACGCGAAAAACATCTCCTGGCTGTTGCCGAAATAGAAGATGAAGATGAAGCCGTTCAAGAACATGAGACCGCCAATGGTTGCCCATCGATATCCAATCCAACTGGTGATGGGACCTGCGATGAATACACCGATGAAGGCACCGATTGGCCCGCTACACTGGAATGCTGACTGCCATGAAGCTTCGATAATGTACTGTCCTGTTTTTTCGCTGTATACACCAAAGTGATCGGCGAATGACTTTGTGGCTATGAACTGTCCCATTAAGAAAACACAGTATGACTCCATGATCTATCGCAATGTTAGAGAAATGATCTGCCTATCATGGGCAAGAGCTTACAATGGTGCATGACATCACGAATGCCCACCAGCTGGCAGCGGGATAGGCCTTGACGGCCTGGAGCACAGTCATATTATGTTCGATCTCCTCGGCACCGATGGCACCCGCTCTGTCGTAGTCGACCTTCTCGTCGACATCGTAAACAGGTCCGCCCATGGAGGAGGGCTGCGCCTCGACCTCCGACGCTGAGGTCTGCTTCTCTGTGATGTCGCTATTCATGTTGACGATTTCTGAGAGAAACGGGTGAATGAAAGAGGGGCAGGCACGACTGGGGGTTTCAGATCTTTATACCTGCGACAACACGCTCGTGATGGTGATCCCGATCTTATCTCAATTGAGTGAAGCTGAAGCTTGCTCCGGACCTTGACCTCCTCAACCCCACATCTCCAGTCATGAGGGTCATTTTTCCGGGCACTACGGTAGCAGCGTCACTTGATTATGGTGGGCTCTTGTCGAGCGAAGGAATCTGATAGGTTCTAGTCGGGAGGAAATGCACTGGTTCCTTTGCGGGGTCCGCCAAATGCGTGGTGTGGGTCTAGATGTGGCGTTCCATTCGCCGGAGAATTTCCTAGTATGGCTCGTAGGGGAGAGTCCAGAATCCTCCCTCCTTTCAGTTAGTGCGAGTCGTGCCTGTGCCCCGACCAAGGTTTTTTCTTGTTGTGCACTCTGAAATCCGACTCTCTTGATTCCCTGTCAGGGTGGTTCAATTCTGTTGAGCCTATCATAATGAGCAAGTAAATTTGACCGAGGAGCTGGGAGAGGATAAGCGCTAATTATTAGTTAGCGCTGTGCTTGACTCCGGGTATCGAGTACCACGGGTAAATGTTCAGCAAACGTGACCCATTCACAATGTCTTCGAACGCTGGCCTCCGAACATGAAGTCGGATGCTCATGATGCTTGATCTCTTCTCTGCAGAATACCATGCTCAGTGGGGGGCAACTGGACGTGCAGGACCCAGGATAAATATTATCGATCTTTAAAGAACCTGACGAATCCCAGAGTCGGACACGGCTCGGTGTCATCTCATCCGTGGGCTATGGGCTCGGCCAGTTTTACCCCAGACGGTCACTACCCCGCGCCATGACCCCGGACGGATCCTGAATCTCCTCCAATGGAGAAAAGGAGAAATACCGAAATTGGATAATACAAAATATGAAATTGCACGAAAAGGAGCAATACAGTGTGTGTGTGTAGTCCATTTACCGTGACCCCTCGTCGAAATTGAGACCTTGGATTGAGGTACAAGTGTGATAATCATTCTCTAACTATGCGAGTAGGCGCAGCTATTTGTAGTCACGGTACCTAGCTGCCTCCTGCCTAGAGTGGTGGTGGCAGGCTAATAGGCTGCCACTACGGAGTACTGTAGATCAGCCCATCTACTCACCTTCCTCAAGATCCATCAACCTCCCAAGGTTTGAGCTAACTAGCTTTTCATCATACTGTATGCCTCAAGTTATCTCCGATCCATTACTCACTAATACTTGATCAAAACCCAGGTAAAGCGGATTGAATGCCTCTTCTTATGGCCCTTCTGCTCACCACCTGGATCCTCACCATCCCTATTGCTGGTACCCTCGGGGGATGTCTTATGGGTCTCGTCCTTAATGCCCCTCACTTCCTATAGACGGCATTGTCGCCTTTTTGCCGACAATTCGACCAAGCTGCTTGTGGTTATGTACTGTCGACTAGAGCAAATGTGTGTGTTCCTTTCTGGTCGTGTTAATTATATTTTAAATGAATGGTTAATTATGTTGACTTGCATACACCAGAAACCGACATGAATTCCTAAAACAATGATGGTAATGGCTCTGGAATAATGTCTAGGAAACCGAAGCTATCTCACTTAAGTTCACTAGTTAGGACATTGTGTCTAAGCAATGCCTAGCAATAGATAGAAACCCTAACTAGGATGTCTATGTTTAGGAATACCCGCCGAACGGCCAGGGCATTGTAGCATTGATAGCACTCGGAATAATAGAAGAGCTAGAGCGAATAGGTAAAATTCCGAAGTTCAGTCAAGCAGAGCACAACTCGGCAGAATATCTCCACGCCATTACCGAGGGTTTGCGGATCGCATTTGCCGACGCCGCCGAGTAGGTGACAGATCCAGACACGGAGCCCGTTTCGTCACAGGGCCTACTCGCGCGAGACTATCTAGCACGAGCGAGCCTAGTTATTCTTATCTAACCGCGTAGCTGAAATCCTAAATCACGGCAGCCCAGCCCACAACCACTATGATACGGTATACTTCGCCGTAACCGACCGGGACGGCAACGGAATCTCCTTTATAAACAGTAATTACGCCGGCTTCGGTACAGCTTTAGTCCTAGCTAGCTGTGGGTTTACCTTACAGAATCGGGGCGCGAACTTTTCACTTCAGCCTAGACACCCGAATGCTCTGGCTCCGGGCAAGCGTCGATACCACACTCTTATTCCCGCCATTAATCACAAATGTGGCTGATAGCTCCCTGCACTCTATATATAGCGTCATAGGTGGCTTTATGCAGCCCCAGGGCCATGTGTAGGTATTGCTTAATATGCTTGGCTTCGGATATCATCCCTAGGCTGCTCTCGACTCACCACGCATCTACATTGCTACACCGATTTCTGAGGATGGAGACCATACGGTGTGCGTCGAAGAGGGTATCAGCCAAGATGTGAATGAGGGTCTCCAGCGCCTTGGTCATAAGACCAAGGTGCTGATCGGCTGGGAACGTTCGATGTTTGGCCGGGGTCAGATCATTCGTTTGCACTATGATGAGGGCCAGCTGGTGCATAGTGCTGGTAGTGATCCAAGAGGTGATGGGATGGCATTCCCATTGCTGTAAGTCATTTTCTCGTATAATCCGTGTATCTCAATGCCTACCGTGCTTTTCAAGGACAAAAGGCACCGACAGAAAGATTCGCACAATGCAGTAATATCACTCAGTCTAGCATGACCAATGCATTCTCAACCCAAGCGACACGTGCAAAGTACCTTTTCTCTTTGGATATGAGCCCGAATGCCGCATTTGCAAGAGGATTATGCACGCTTCAATTAATATATAGAGACGAGACTGCAATTTAGTGACACACGGAGAAATGAATAGAAACATATGCTTCCAAAGCCCAAAAGCAGAGGACGCCATGAAAGATAATAATAGCAGACAAACTTGGCTCGCAAGAGGCGAGAAGCAAAAGGTGTAGGACATCCATAAATAGAAATTAACGCCCGAGTATAAGAGAGTCAAAAGCAACAGCCACATCAGTTGATCTCGTTATCACGCGGCAGCCACAGAAATTGAGCAAACCGACGGCCAGGCCGCCCAGGACAACGTTCAGCCATGAGAGGAAGATACGTTCGTTGGCGAAGAAGACTTTTGGCTGGACGCGAGTGGGCAGCGCGATTTTGGTTGCCTGAAAGGAAGGTGGCTGTCAGTGGTTTGTCTCTATATAGTTAGAACAGGAATTATTTGCAGCCATTGCGCATAGATTGATCTCTCGGAATGGGCTAAGATAGGAGCGTTAATTACCTGGGGCGACTCGGAGAGATTTGCTGGACATGGTCTCGGTCCCACTTTTACTCCCATATGTAAGCCAAATCCCTAATTCCAACCTAGCAGACTACTGCAACCCATGTGGGTTAGGAGTTCCTACTAGGATGCAATCATAAGCCTCAATTTCTTCCTATACTTAAGCAAAAACCCTAACCGGGATACGGTGCATCCAATCAACCACTATGGGATAGAAAGGCGGTGGGGATAGCAATACAGATTCCTTTCACTCTTCCTTAAGCAAATCATATGCAATCAAGGCGTGTATTTGCGCGACTTTGACGAGCTCCTCAATCATGATAAACTCATCCGCAGCGCCCATACCAGAAGGTGTGCAGCCGACGACGACACTAGGAATACCAGTAGCGCGGTACAATCTCGCGTCTGACGCACCAACGCGGATGTTCACCACAGGAGTCGGTTGCTGATCCATAACTTGTGTAGAAGCCAAGAGGGCTGACTCAATTAAGGGATGCGATGGTGAGGTACAGGTCGGCTCGTAGCTCCGGATGATCCGCCAACTCACGCCTCCCATAGGGTCAAGGTACTCTTGGAGATGTTTCCGAACGTTCTCAATAGAGATTCCAAGGGGAATTCGTATATCGCCTTGGGCTTGCGCCTCACTGGGGATAAGGTTGGAAAGCTTACCCCCACTAATGGATCCAATGTTGACTGTGACGCGTTGCAAGACCTTGGACTCTCCTTCACCGAATATGGCTTCAGAAGCTTCGCTGGCAATGGCAATATATTTTTGGATTTCTGGGGCGTGGACGGGTAGTTGTTCAAGAAGCTTCACAGCATCTAAGGCTTTTCGAAGTCGATCGATTGCGTTGATACCTTTATGGACGTGCGCTCCGTGAGCAGAGATCCCACTGGCCGTGATTTCGAACTAGCAAAGTCCCTTTTCTCCGAATCTGATGACACTTGGCGAACCGGCATCACCACATATCATAGCATCGCCTCTGGCCGCCGGGACATTTTCAAGAAGCCACTTGGAGCCCAAAACACCCATGGTCTCTTCATCGCCGGCGAGTGCAATGACAATTTCCCCCGACCATAGCTCTTTATGCTCGGCCAGCCCAGCGGTGGCTAATATCTATGCTGCAATGCCACCTTTCATGTCTGATATGCCCCGTCCGTATAATTTCCCATTCTTGATATGTCCACTCAGAGGGGTACTGTCCAATCAAGATGTTCGCAAATTGGAAATGTGTCCAGATGACCGTTGAAGACCAGTCGCTTGCTTGCTCGACCGCTGGGAATCCTTGCAACTAGATTCACAAGTCCTGGCGCCGTCTCGTATCGTTCGATCTCTGCGCCGGGTATCTTTTCCAGAATATTTATAGCAGCTTCTGCGACAAGTGCGGTTTCTCCGGGTGGGTTGGGAGATGGCGCCGCCAAAAGACATTGCGCTGCGGATACCAGCTGGCTTTCTCGCAAGGAGAGCTGGTCAGTCAGATGTGACCGGAAGGATTGATTTGCCATATTTGAAGTTTTGAGGGGGGAAAATAGATTCTGAATATCGCCGTCTATGCGGGTCACCACTATCGAAATTCTGGAAAAACGCGCAAGAGGTAAAAAACTCATATAAAAGAAAAAATTGTGTGCAATTAGGGAGAGTACCCTGTCCACGAATCGGAATCCAAATCCTAAATACGGCAAGGTAAATCGCGATTTCGGAAATCCTTTTTTTTTCGGCTGCGCCTCTAGTGAGTAGTATCATTCTCGGTGGGTTTCCGGGCCAAAGTAGCGCGCGAGCCTTGACGCCTCATTGCCCAGGGAATAATGTTATTAACCCCTGTCAAGTTGTCAATAGGGCAACCTTTCCCTATCCTTATCTCATATCAAGGGACAAGATAGAGTGGACGGCAAGTCTTTTGAGGTCTTCTGTTTGCTGCCAAGGAATTGGAAGACAAACTGGGTCGCCGAGTGGACGAATTGGGGACCAGAGTCGAGATTGCCTATCAGGAGAGTTAAGTTTGTGTGTCAGGAGATCTGGTCTCATTAGGCAATGTTCCATAAGATCTCCGGGTGAAGAATTTCTTCTTCGCCATATCCTACTGAATACATCTGAAAGCCGCGAAAACCTACTGAATACGTTCGGATGGGGGAGAAGGAGACTAAATACTGGCCTGGTGGGTCCCCACAATGATAGCTACCGATAAGAGCGCCAATGAAAAGCGATTGATGTATCTCTTATCTATGCTTGATATCTGGGGAATATCTCTGCCAAGTTGGAGCATCCATGCTTACATCACCTAACCCGCTAGAATAAGCGGGGACAGTCAGGAAATATCTTAGGGCACAATTTTGAGGAAACCACGCTAGCCACTGACACCTATGCAAGTATCGATAAGGACTAGGAGATTCGATGCTATTGGTCCAGATAACGTCAAGGCAGACATAGTTTAACCAACATAGGCTCATACACTCGTATTAATGCTGCTGGTAATTCTGGACAGGGCCTTTTTCGGCACGAAGTATATAAACCCCATGTGATATCCTTAAACAGCTACAGTTTCCGAAACAAAATAATTGCCAGCCCTGCCATGGATTCCGTTAATCTCTATTCGGAACAAAACTCCTCGGACTGCAAAGAGTCTACCGGAGACAAACAACTAGCATCAGCTTTCTATGACGCAGACAAGGAAGTTGGGACCACAACTTATTTGAAAGCCTCCAAAGACCTGAAGCGCAGACTGAATGCTCGACACCTTTCCATGATAGCCCTAGGGGGCGCATTGGGGACAGGTCGCATCATTGGCACTGGCTCTGGTGTAGCTCGAGCTGGTCCTGCCGCGATTTTGATCACTTATACCTTGGTTGGCTTGGTAGTGTATCTGGTACTGGCCGCTCTGGGAGAGGTTGCCACGGGGTTGCCGATGGCCAGTGGTTTTAGTGGGTATGTGTCGAGATACGTGGATCCAGCGGTTGGATTTGCCCTTGACTATTGGTTAGTTTTCTTTTGTTTCGAAACGGGAGAGGTGTGTTAGGTACATGAATATTGACGGGTTATGACAGCTATTGGTTTAAATATCTCATTCTTCCACCGACCCAGCTAACGGCTGCCGCACTGGTTCTACAGTATTGGGTCCCACGGAATCAACCGAACCCCGGAGTCTTTATTGCCATCTTCCTGACCGTCATAATCATATCCAACTTGCTCAGTGTCAGGTTCTTCAGAGAGCTGGAATTCTATCTGAGCAGCCTAAAAATCATCATTCTCATAGGTCTTCTTACCCTCTCTCTTGTCCTTGTTTGTGGAGGGGGTCCGGACCATGAGGTCAAGGGGTTCCATTACTGCTCAAATCCGGACGCCTTCAATCACTACATCATGGGCTAGTGCATCCTCCAAATCTCTAGTGTCGTTCAGGAAAACTAATAGTGTAAAAAGAGGATACAACAGGCCAGTTCCTCGCATCGATCTCTGTGTTGATCAGTGCAACATATGCGTACCTAGGGACTGAGCTTATCTGTATAACCTTTTGCGAGGCGGAGAACCCACGTCGCAATATCCCGAAAGCCGTGAAATTGACAATCCATCGGATTTTCATTTTTATATGCTTTCTGTTTTTTTTCTTCTCGGAATGCTTCTTCCGTATAACAGTCACCAACTTATTTCCGCCAATTCGAAGCCGACTTCGGCTGCTGCATCTCCGTTCGTAGTGGCTATCCAACTCGCTGGCATCAAGATCCTACCAGGGGTATTTAATGCCTGTGTTCTCATTTTCGTCTTGTCTGCGGCCAACAGTGACTTATACATTGCTTCCTGAAGTATTTACGTCCTTGCGGTTGCGGGTTTTACGGCCTTGCGGTTGTGGGTCTTGCTCCCCGTTTTCTAGCACGCACCAACAAAAATGTTGTGCCAATCACGGCTCTTCTGCTGTCTTCCCTATTTGGATGTCTCGGATTCCTTAACGTCACAACCAGTTCTGCCACTGTATTTAACTATTTCGTCAATCTTGTGACGGTATTTGGCATCCTAACATGGATATCTCTCCTTGTTATACACATCTTCTTCGTCCGTGCTCGAAGGGCTCAAGGCGTATCAAATACCGACCTGGTTTATACCGCTCCTTTAGGTCTCTATGGAACCTATTTCGCCCTTTTCGTCTGCATAATTATCGCAATCTTCAAGAACTTCAGCGTTTTTGTCAAAAGTAGCGCCGTTGGAGGTACGTACGGCAATTTCGACTCCAAAAACTTCATTGTGGGGTACCTTGGCATTCCGATCTATTTGAGCATGTTCGTGGGGTACAAAATCATGCATAAGACAAAATTCAGAAAGGCCATGACTACTGATCTCTACGCTGGAATGGATGAGGTCAACAACGAGGAAAATGAATTTCTGGAGAAACAGAAGGTCAAAAACGAGGAAAGGGAGGCCAAATCAGGAATATGGTATAGACTAATTGCTTGGATGTTTTGATCAGGCGATTTGCGATTTGGCTAGACGAATATGGCGTCGACAGTTTCACCATCCTCTGACAACGAGACCGGATCATTCAGCTACGTCAGGAGTCAGCCACCTTCTTAGCTATTTTCAAGAAGCGCTACGCCTTTGTTTTATAATAAAAAATTTACATTTTTGCCGTAGCTTTCATATGGCTTTTTTGAGGAGGCCAATGTTAACAATACCTACTCCAACCCTGTTGTACCTAAGATAGAATGCTTTCTTCCTGAGTCCTTCGTAGCTCGACTAGTGGCGCCATATTCAAGAATTTCATCAGGCAACTTCATTCACCATTGTAGAAGCAGCCCCAAGCTACCGACGGTTCTGTTTATGACAATGTAACCTTTTATCGCTCTGAACGGACTCTGCATATGCGCTTGGAGGCAGAAATAATATTGTTATATTTGCCGCTGGGCTCGCCGGACTCAAACTCTATGAAGACATATTGATGTCTTAAAGGAATAAATACAAACAAATGTTTTTTTAATTCGAGCCCCGGGTGAGGGGATTGTTTGGTCCAAGGGGCTAAACGCATTCTTGAGTCCAAGACGACCAGGAATGTTGATTCTCGCCTAACTGTTGTTGCTGTCTCATTACTTCGAGCATACCGTCCCCTGCTAGCCACCGCGCTAGCGCAAAAGGCCCCGTTTATTTCTTGGGCTATGCCAATTGCTCACAATGATGATCTGTTGACGCACAGTGTCCTGGCACTAAGTGGGGCAAATTTGTTATTCAGGTCAGATGGGAATCTTGAGATTCAGCGGGCAATCCCCCGGGTGGCACTCTCCCCACCAAATAAAACAAAAAAACAAAGTTTACACAGATTCCTCCACATAGACTATCATTCAAGTAGGGCATGTAGATGGCCTGAGGAGATCCCTCCTTCGAAGGTGTGCTGACCACAACCCTCATATAATCTTTTTATCGACTAAGTGTTGACCCTCCAATAACTCAAGGCCAATAGTGCGGTAGACTCACTGTGATCAAGTCAATGGATAGGGAACCAGTTGGGCCATGATGTCTCTCTCTCCGGCTACCCTATCGCGCACTATCTGCTGTGCAGCCAGTTTTTCAATTACTAGAGATGCCCGAACACCAGCTTCCGGGTGAGTGCTGCACCCTGCGAAGTATAATTCTTCGATATGCGGATGTTTCATTTGCGGACGGAAGCACAACACATTGGCAAACGAGTGTGATAACCCCAAAATAGCACCACGGTCCAAGTTGAATCTTTTGCGCCAAGTGACAGGGGTGTTGACTAGCTCAAACACCAGCTTAGAACGTAGATCATTTGCTCCAATCCGAGCCTCGATAGTCCGAATGACAATGTCCCTTGTTACAATGACCAATTTATCCTAAAGTTTTTTTTCTCTGCGTCGACTTCATCACCACCGCTGGTCAAATGACTCACTGGAACGAGCACCATAACCGATTCGTTACCATCAGGGGCGGCTGTCGAATCAATCTGACTAGGTACGTTGATGTAGAACGAAAAGTCATCAGGAAAGTGGTGGTCATCGAAGAATAGCATCAAAGCTCTCTCGGTAAGCATTCGCTAGAAAGACGTTATGCGGGCGAAGCTCAGGTATCCTTTCGTTGAAAACCCAATAAAACGAGATACTGCTGCAAGCGGTTGAACGTCTCTGCAATGCTTGACTATGACGTGAAGAGGGCAGAAGCTTGCTATATGCATACACCAAATCGGCGTTAATCGCAATGAATCTGCCGGAAGCACTAGTCCGGACGCCAGTACGCCTACAGCACGACCACCAGTCTGAGACAGTCCAATCTTCTTCACCGAGGTACCGAGGAGAAACTTCACTCCCGCTCGACGGCCCACTACACTGGCAGCCTGCAAGACCTATATTCAAATCAACAAAGTGGAATAAACTGCGAAGAAGAAGCCATATCACCCGCTGGAAAGCCCCTTTCGGGTACCATATGCCATCTGAAATCTCGATATAGGGCAGCAAGGTATATGTGCCAGGAGCACCGTAACGGCTCATACCCAAGTACATCCTCGTGAAGCTCCAAACACGTCGCATCTTTTCAGAGTGAAAGAACCTGGAGGCTTGTAGATGCTTGTCCAAGGCCTGATATAGAATAGTGCCTTAAGGAGCGAGGGGTGGAACATGCTCCATAAAGTCGGGAAACTGTGTCGGAATACACTCCCCTTAGCGAGTTGGTATTGCAATCCGGCCTCAGCTTGGAACGCACAGAATCGTGGGAAGCCACCCGGTCCCTCATGGCGCTAATCTGTGCCTTAAGGTGGGGGATGTCTCGAGATAGCTCAATGAAGTCTCGGTCGGCAACCAGATACAATAGTTAGGCTCGCATTTGAGCATTTCAATTCCCTCCCCGTCTAGAGATGTACCAAGAGTCTCAAAGGCCTGGCGGAACAGCTGTGGCATGAGTACTAGTGAGGGCCCTTGATCAAAACGCTGCTTGCTCTATTTAGCGTACTCATTTTTTCCAATTACTAGGACATCAAATCCTTCGCGGCCTATTTGGGCGGCCGTGACCAATCCTCCGGCTCCTGCGCCGGGTGATGTTAGATTCGACTTCTGTAATTAGTTGGGATGTCTGCATACCAACTACAATAGCAGTAGGTTTTCTCATGTTTTCGCTCGTTTCTAAGCTAGTTCTGCAATGTTTATTTTATTGTATAATATGATAACACAGTTATCCTTTACCTTATTCTACCGTGCGACAAACCATTAGAGATTTAGCTAGACATAATCTCCGCATCTTTCGTTTAACTGTTTCTGGCGACGTGCAACCCAATTTGGACCTGTTTAGATGGCTAAAACGTCAGGACTGCCACAGTTGAGGAAGATCGTCAGTCAGTTGGTGGCACTGAAGGCTCGTGCATTTAATCGAAATTGTTTCTATCATCTCGATTCAGTAAGCTATTAGGTGGTTCTGTAAATCAACTCCTATTTTACACTCACCATATTGATATGAATTAGGTTTTCTTTCCAATTATGTGTCAATTCATGCATGGACTCCGGAATATCTGATCAACATCTTGTTGAATAATAATTGACATTTGAGAATGCGGGAACCCCAATCTGAAATTTCCTTTGGTCATCGGGGTTCTGAAGTGGGTTGTACTGTCGTGTCCTGCGTGTAGCGCGTTTTGTTATAAATATAAGTACCAAATCCCTGGGAGAAAAGTATTCCCATGGCTATGTCATTTTGATGAAAGTCATCATCAGATCAGGTAGGGAAAGTAAACCTTGTTTCCCTAATCGTTCCTCTAACATCTAGTCATTAACCAATACAATCATATTATAGGCAGTTGCTTCTAGAGGGATAGGATAGTGCGGTGTCGATATTAGAAGAACTTCTCTTCGTTCTCCAGCTATAAGAAGTCTGGAGGCTCGGCTGCCTGGTCATGCGCCGACAACTGTAGCTCATAGAAGGTATTTGAGCCATTAGAAATCAATCACACCACGTACATTCTTTCAAATTTCCCTAAACCCCTATTCCAAGGACCACTATCCTTATCAAAAATAGACCATGAAAAGCAATATCCCTAATGTAACTCTAACCCAGATGTGTATACTTGTGATTTTCGGTGCATGTGATGGTCCCCTGGTATAACTTAACGCCCTGTGATACTTTCCAGTGTTGATGTTCATTGGCGGTCTTGTCATAGCCGCCTGGGATGGATGGCTATCTATGCTGATTTTGGGCGTAAAAGTGGCTTGGAGAACAGCCACAGTCGTGTAGCAGATTCAGAAGAGGTCAATGCAAACTCCTCGATAGCAATGGAGCCTTTCCTATCGGGATAAATGGAGTGGAACAATAATATATGATCAAGAAAGATGGTCGTCCCCAAGGGAATCTTTCCGCAGAGTCTTAGTACACTGTACAACGGCACGTCTGCTAAGACTGGAACTGCTTAACAGCCTATTTATACCATTGGGGTTCCTACTAGGTTTGCAATCCTGACTATCTTCTGTGGTATGCTCCTCGTCGCTAAGCTGCAACCCTATAGCCGAAACTAATTTTGGACAACCTCCATGATCGCAATTATTGTCTCTAAAGGTCAGCTGAACCGTCCTCCGCTCGCCTTTGGCTTTGTCGCTAGCATGTACCTCGCTGGACCTATGACCTTTGGCGGAGGTCCCGTTGTCATCCCGCTTCTACCCCCTTATGCCGTAGGCCCTGGCTGGGGTCCCAGTCGTGACTTTCTAATCAGTCTGGCTATAATTCAAGCCTTCCCTGATCCTAACTTCAACTTCGCTGTCTCTCTCACGTACTGCAACAATCCCGCTTCCCAATTGTTTTTGGCGCTTTCCTGGCCTGGCTAGGTATTTTTGTTCCTGGAGTTATTTTGGTTGTTGTAATTCACTTCGCCAGAGAGATCTCCATATAGAGGGTTAAGAGTCCGCGAATAATAAAGACCGTCAGAGATATATTTTTTTGTGGTGGACGCAACGGGCGCTAATATAGTTACGGGGACTTCCGTAATACAGCAACTTAGGCTAGGCTTCGGGTACGGGAAGCCCACCTTCATATTTAAGGAAAGCCGAGACGATGCGCCCAAATTGGTAGCCACCGCTCTACACCCCATCATAATTTTGTCCTCGAGCCTTAGCCCACCGCCTCCCGGGAATACTATCTTCCGTCGGCCGATAAGACGGTCTGAGTCTCGAACGGCCCGACCAAGCGTAGGGGCACTTCGACCTAGACGTCGGTCGGGAATACGGTGCAGGGACATGATCAACTGTACTTGATATGCTGCCGAAATCAAGTCTAAAGAAACAACCTTGGAACACTACCACGAACAATCTATGCTATCCTAGGAGCGCCACTAAGATTGTATCAAAATATAAATATATCCTCGGGAATAAATACATAATTTCAGTCTTGCATCGTAACATAAACAAGTGACGGCCTCCATATTGCTCCTAAAGCATATGTGCAAGCACTAGAGACTGCGATATGTCCATTGACATCAACCGGCGAGTTTCACATAGCGTTTAATCGCTCTTGCCGTTCTTGTAGGTGCCAGAGTGCTGGGCCTTCTTGCACCAGCCATAGTGGTTACCGTTGTCGCCCTCGGACTCGACGTCGCAGGTGGGGGTCGAGCTGGCGGAGGCGGACGAAGGCTTGGAGGTAGTCGACGAAGCGTGACTAGTTGAGGGAGTGGGCGTGACTGAGGAAGTCGACGAAGCGTGGCTAGTCGAGGGAGTGGGCGTGACCGAGAAAGTCGAGTAGGTAGAAAGCGAGGTAGCGAAAGTGTGAGGATTCTCACCCTCCTGGACAGGGAAGGCGAGGACAGAGCCAATAATGGCCAGAGTGGCGAGGAAGTACTTCATCTTGACGGAGGCTGTTTGACTTGCAATGGTATAGCAATTGAGTGTTAAGCAAACGAGATTGGTGGCTGGTCAGGTCGTCTGGAGGAAGAGAGGGATATTTATAGCTGGCGATGCTTAAGGAATTCGGAGCAGACGCATATGCTTCGTTGTGACGAATAATGAGACACGATGCTGGGAAAACGTTGTCAAAGCGCATTGTGATCGACCAATGCGACTAAATGCGGGTCTCGTTGGCGCCGCAAGTGGCAGAAACGTGAATTGTGGGGCAGGATCGGGCTATTGTTGGCGGAAGGTGATCCACATGTTAACCTTGTATCCCACATGGGTGTTGATCCCTTGCACGTTCCTGTCATGAATACTTCCAACTTAGACTCCGTCCACGGCATAATGGCATAATGGGCCCGGCCGATGTTGTGATTGGCGCGAATGCCGCTATCCCGGACTACGAAGCGGGACAGGGACACAATGCACCCCTGTCTATCCTGAAGCCCATACCCCGTGTCTCCCGTGTCTGAGCCATTGCAAACTGTGGAGCTTGGTTGGACGCCATCTGGACCTCCGTGGCATAGGTCGGCCCTTCCAGACGTCTAAAGCTTCTTTCCGATCCAGGTACACCTCGACGCTCTAAGCGGACGCTACACTCCCACGGACAAGAGCCGCCAGGTCTTAAGTCTGTCAACTGGCATTTCGTACGATTTGAAGGCTATTGTAGTAAGTCTCGGAACTAATAACGCATGATGTCTCAAGGCGCCGTTTATAAATTGATGCTAGTATAGTAGATAACGCATATCTTATGTGTGTGCCCCTTTACGAAAGTAGCAACTAAACTGTGTCTAACAGATAGACTACAGGCTTTTATTTGTTAGTGAATATTGTGAGTAACTTCTTACTACTTATAAATATGTGATTCAATATCTAAATGCATTATTACGAGCAAACATTGCTAAAGCCTATTCGTAGGGAAAGTGGCTTTATATTGGGACGTGGAGTTTAAGGAATACCCGGACGATAGACTAAGGGTGAATGATTCTTTAGATCCTACTCCTTCCGAAATCAATGCTTATTTATTTGTTCTAACTGAACACAGAAAAAGGACGGTTTGAGTGCTTTGCTCATTTGAGTCTAGTCTCAACTTGGTGGTGTTTTCCTCCATATCCACCTAGACCTATGGAAAGGTTCTCGTTCCGGAAAAAGAACCCTCCTCAAGAGTGATGATTCAGATGGAAATAGAATATTAATTGAGCGGGTCGGATACAGTGTTGTGGATCTCCACACTGAGATATTTAATGGGACATTGGGGAGCTTGACGAAGGAGGATTGTGTGGCGTGTTACGACGTGGGCCTCAATCCCGATGGAAGTACTGTAGTCTTGGTATACCCAAGACAGAGCCTTTCCACAGCCATACCGTAATTATGACCCCGTCCTATGACCCATATCCCATCGAATGGCACGCGGGATAATTGTGGATATGAAGTTAACGTATAAAAGTGACATCATTAGTAAATGAAGGAGGGACGAGTAATGAAACGAAATAATTGATTAAAATACTGGTTTGTTCGCCACTTGAGAACGTACTAAAGATTCTCGATGGCTGTGTTTCTGTTGGCTCTAGCCTTTGCCTTTAGGGGCAGGCCCGCTTTTGGCTGCGGGCTTGCATAAAAACGAATCATATATACATATAGTTCAATTCTTGCACGAATTATTCGCTCCATCATTTTGCTATAAAAAGGGAATGAGTTGAGCAATTACCAATATACAGGTGTTTCTCCAATGACGAGGGCATACGTTAAGCAGATTTTGCGGGGCTAAGTAATTTGGCATAGGGCGTCGATCAACTCAGGTCACTATTGCAACGGTTTTCACTTTCAATAAAATTTTCTGCCGCGTTTATTAGCGTCATATTGCATTGCATATTCCGTCCCAACCCGCTGAAGTGCCATCCTATGATAGAATCTACGCAACACTAATAAAATAATTGCCCGAACTAAACACAACTGACAAGACTAGGGCAAGAGAAGTCCGCACTCGTTAGGTGGCTGTAGCCATAGCCATTAAATCCCTCTACCGATCATGCGGGCCGGAGCACGAAAAACCGGGAGAGATTAGACATTACGTGTTTCGGACCGTGCTCGCACTATCTCGATGTCTCGGTGAGTTACATTCGGTATATAGAAATGCGAGGCGAATTAAATTAGTCTCAGCATTTCGTTGCGGGATATTCTATCATATGATTGGTTGATATAAGTTTAACTCTAGAAGAGGTGGAGCTTCTTTAATACCTCGAATAACTTAGTGGTGTCTGATGACGTAACGCGGCCTATAGTTAGTTAACTTAGACTAACGTTAACGTTAATAATCCAACTTTAATGATGCGGAACCCCGGAAGATTAAATAAGGGTCGATATACGGTTAGATAATAGAGCATTATTGACCGTCATTGTATGTGAGTCTTAGAAACCCAGTCTAGTACTAAGTCGTCTTCGTTCTAACGTAATTCTCATGCGAACGGCCCACCCAAGCGAATGGCCACTCCTAATTCGATATGTCCTTAGTTATATGATCTTAGTTCCTAGGAAATCGCCACTCTAGCTTTATCCTCTCTATTTTCCTATCACGCGGGGAAATCTTTGTTGTAGTGGGTTAGGCTTTCTTATAGAGATTCCTAGCGCACTATAGTCATAACAAGTAGGGGAGTAATCTTTAAAAATAATAGCTAGTGCGCCTTAGAATTTTGCTATACGCGAGCGTATCTATATCTATGTTGCTAACTTTCTGGTTAAACGGTCAATCGACTAGTTTAAAGATAGATCCTATTATCGCTTACGGGTATTTGATTATGCTTCCTATTACTGCGTTCTAGTATGTTTAGCAAATTCAAACCTACTTAGGCTTACTTTAGCTTACACGGTAGATAGCTGACTTCTAGGTCACTATCGCCTATGCTACTAACATAATGCTGTTTGGCTACAATTAGGGCGTATTCGGTATCTTTCTTCCCCTTTGCACGTTTTCTAGATCCTTGATACTAAGCCCTTAGCCTGCGTTATTGTGACTAAAAGTCTCTCTCAATACCCTAAACCTCAATAATAACCCTCATAGGTACTGTCACTACTATCTATGATATGGGTTGTCACTTCTGTGCTATAATAACTATAATTTAGGCTATCGGAATCGAGACGTTACAAGTTTTACGTTATCTAGACTGTACTCAATTTGGTGTTTGTGCCGACTATCTATTTTTCCTATCTAGAGATGGCAGTCGATAGCTAGAGGATATTGATTTGTTCTTCCGAGGCAACTATTTAGTGTTTATTTATACTAATCCGGAGGCTGTGTCGCTTTTACGACTATAGCGGTACATCGACATCGATAGGACTTAGTATATCGGAATAAATTAGTGTCCGACGTAAATGAAGGAGTGCCTAGATAGGGAGAGCATATAGAGGCTATATGAGTACTTTTTGATAGCTAAAGCCTTTAGGTTTTCTCTCTTTTCCGTCCTTACCGAGAAGCGATCAACAGTAGGATCCGAGGAATACTAAGATAGACATTTTTCCCCCGTTCTATCTCTTCTGCTTCGTTCCTTTTGCTTCCCTTCCTTTAGAGCTAGATTCAACTTAATTACTGTTGCACTTAATGCACAATTTTTGGATCCTTTTTTTCTTCTGAACTATTATAGATACGGTATAGGTCCAATTCCTAGACAAAGTAGGATCTAGAAAGCAGGAAAAATGGACATTTTCAGTGTCAAATATCTCATGGATATCATTGTAACCTGTAAACCGGCCAACATTCCGAAGCATGGGATGTAATGCTGTAACCAATCCCTTGATATTTCTAGGGAACGACTTCAAAGTTTCTTTCCTTTTTGGAGGAGGATTACCTGTTTAATCCAAGTTACTACTTTAATTCAGGACAACGACATCTATGCAATCCAATCACTGCGGGTTTGTAACATAAGCCCCGCGTCGCAACCGCAGTCTCGTTTTGAAACGAACTTTCGGTGCCATCCTATTTCGATGAAACCAGCCTTCCTTCGAAGGTCGACAAGGTCTAAGGAAACGAGAATAGAAAGTGCGTATATTAATACGATATCCCACTTTCCGAAGTCTGTGCGCTGACTTATATCATACTTGGAATAACTCTCTGGCCGCATAGTTGGGGAGCAATAAACGCAGGCGCAATAGTCATCGTCTCGAAAACGGTGAGCCTTCATACGTAGATAACCAGCGAGCAGTGACCATAGTTATAGCCTTGTACCCAACAGTTGCCCATAGGATGAATGTTCCCTCCTCAATCAAACAATTTTACTTACTTACGGCCATGTTTCTTGTTCGTCTTCTAGTTGCCGTGTACCTCGGATTTCCTTCGCGTCCTCAGTACAGTATTACAGGACACGTCCTACTCATCCACATATCCGCCTTATCGAAGCTAATATATACTTTCAATTAAACACCCTGGTGGGCGATGAGGGCCGCACAATCCAGCAAGGTACGTTGAGCCCGTAGAATTACGAGGGTTGCACGGTGTCCAGTCACCTCTCTTTGATCAGAAGAATGAGAAATGGTAAAAATACTTCTTTTTAACAAGATGGTGCTTCTTCCAACACGCAACGCAGAAAAACCTGGACATTTGATTGACAAGTCACTTAGTATGATGAGCAAAGTGAGATTCGAGATCAGCCCCTCAATTGAATTTACCCCTGAGTGCCTAGTAATTGGGGCCCTAAGCCAGATGTTGACTTGTTCAATTGATCTTATGTTGTGGGTGGTGGACCCCACAGTTGTAGTGAAAATGGGACCCACATTTGATCACCAATCAAAAAGATAGCCAATTTTAATTGCAATTTACTCCTTGGCTACTATATAAGCCTGTGCAAGCTCCGAAGCAAACAGGGGAACTACATCTGGAATTACAACTTGTCAATTTCGAGACCGATCGGAGGTGACTGGGTGGTTACTCCGGGAGTAATTAATTGTTAAAGCCCTTGGTTGGTGCCCACTTCTTTCCTCCACATCCCGCAGCCATGTGGGCATCTTGGAACGCTCATTTGGGACTGCCCGCCAAGACCTCCCGCCAAGAATGTCTCTTCTCCCGCCAAGGGCCTTCCCGTCACTCGGGTGGAGTTCAAGCCTCCCGCGTTTTGGGCCTGCGGCAGCCAACCATATTATATGCGTCTCTCAGAGGCATCTCGTTTTTGGTTGGTAACCTGCCCCTGCCAATCCCATCAAAACGATAATGAAGCTTCAGCGCAAAGATGCTTGTGGAAGCCTCTACATTCCAGCGAATCAGCCCAGAGGTTCTGGTAACGTGCTGCCAGTTCGAGTCTAATAGGCATAGCAGACTAGCCTGCCTCGCGTGGTCATAATATAGCTATCTACTTAATGGCGCTGTTTCGCATTCTGTCACTATCTTTCTTAGTTATTTGCCGTGGCTTAATCATCAAGGATTGACCCTCTGGCCAGTTTCACCAAAATGGGAGTCCACCAGTACACTTACGTGTTTGCTATTGGCACTATCTTCTCCCTTCTCGACGCCTTCAACAATGGTGCTAGTCAGTAACTACTCAGACTCTCCCCGACATGGCATGAATGCTGATCGATTTCCTAGACGATGTTGCAAACGCATGGGCGACAAGCGTCTCCTCGAGATCTGTGTCATACAGAATGGCAATGGTATTGGCTACGATATTCGAGATCCTTGGCGCATGCACCGTGGGATCACGAACAGCAGAGACCATCAAGGATGGCATTATTACAGTCGAAGCCTTCAAAGGTAATTCTGGTGTCCAGATGCTCGCATTCACCTGCGCCGTCGCAGCGGCCTCCTCTTGGGTCATGTGGTGTACACGGAATTCTACCCACGTGTCGTCCACCTACTCCCTCATTTCCGCGGTTGCTGGTGTGGGTGTAGCCACTGCCGGTGCCTCCAAGGTGCAATGGGGATGGCATGAAGGATCAGGCCTTGGTGCTATATTTGCTGGCCTGGGCATGGCTCCTGCTATTGCTGGCTGCTTTGGGGCGATTATCTTTTCGCTGATCAAGGTTATTGTTCACATGCGCGCGAATCCGTTGCCGTGGGCGGTCTGGACCTCGCCTTTCTGGTTCCTTGTGGCGGCCACCATCTGTACGTTGTCTATTGTCTTCAAGGGGTCCCCTAACCTTGACCTCGATAAGAAGGCCGGATGGTATGTTGCTTCGGTCAGTGTGGGTACTGGAGGTGGTGTCTGTATTCTGTCCGCTATTTTCTTCGTTCCATTCCTCTATATGCGCGTTATTAAGAAGGATTATAACGTCAAATGGTATATGGCTATCATGGGCCCGATCCTGTTCTTCCGTCCTGCTCCTCCCAATGCCGAACAGGCCACGGTTCCCGACTATGCCGTTGTCCAGGAAGACCAGGAGCACATCTCGTCCCCTCAGTTGTCCGGAGAAGTCAAGGTGGAGGATAATGGGAACATCGCTATCACTGAGATTCAATCCACACAGTCCACCTACCAGAAGCTCATGGCGGAAGGTGAGCAGAGATTCCATGCCAAACTTAGGCAATCCAAAGGTCCCCTTGGCTGGGCCATGTGCGTCCTCCATAACAACCCCATAGGCGCAGGTGAGATCTACGAGTTCCACAATATGGCCATTATCATAAAGCGGATTCCTGCTACGATCGTTGCCGGTGCACTCTATGGTATGCACTATGATATTCACGCCGCGCAAACCGGTGTCTCGGGCACGCCGGAGGGCGCCCGCATGCAGCGCGTATACTCACACGCTAAAAAGTACCCTAACGAAGTCGAGTACGGGTACTCGTTTATCCAGATTATCACTGCCTGCACCGCATCCTTCGCCCACGGCGCCAATGATGTCGGGAACGCCGTCGGCCCTTGGGCCGCGATTTACTCCTCCTGGAAGACTGCCGATGTCACGGCCGCTGAGGCCCCCGTTCCCGTCTGGCAACTGGCTGTCGTCGCAATTACAATTTGCGCCGGGTTTATTCTCTACGGGTACAACATCATGAAGGGTGAGTATCCCAACTTTCATCTTACGTAGCCCGTGAATATCTATGCTAATTCTCTTCCAACTTAGTCATGGGTAACAAGATCACCTACCACTCGCCGAGCCGAGGCTGCTCGATGGAAATGGGTGCAGCTCTCACGGTGCTGATCTTTTCGCATTACTCTCTACCCGTCTCGACCTCCATGTGCATTACCGGTGCCACCGTGGGTGTTGGTCTCTGTAACGGCACTTTCAAAGCCGTCAACTTTCAGCGTGTGGCCCTTCTGCTCACCGCCTGGATCCTCACCATCCCTATTGCTGGTACCCTCGGGGGATGTCTTATGGGTCTCGTCCTTAATGCCCCTCACTTCCTATAGACGGCATTGTCGCCTTTTGGCCGACAAGTCGACCAAGCTGCTTGTGGTTATGGACTGTCGACTAGAGCAAATGTGTGTGTTCCATTCTGTTCGTGTTAATTATATTTTAAAAGAATGGTTAATTATGTTGACTTGCATACACCAGAAACCGACATGAAATCCTAAAACAAAGGAGGATTGTAATGGCTCTGGAATAATGTCGTGGACGGATCGCCCTTTCACAAGTATCTCAATCGCCTCCTTTGACTGCAAGCAAATCTATTTAGCTTGGCCATGCAATGCTTGTGTACTCTCATCATTCCCATGTTTGTGGTATTGCTTTTCGTATGAGTCCGCCTTCGTTTAAATGAATTTGTTCCGATTGAAAATTAAGTGGAATCTAGCTCCAAAAGAAGGGAAGCAAAAGGTACGAAGTAGAAGAAATAGAACGAGGGGTAAAAAAATGTCGCCAGAACTTAAGCCTAGTTTCTAGGTTAACTGTATAAGGCATTTCAGATATAAAGGCTCAGAAGCTAAAATTTGTGTTGATCTCCAAGAATCCATTATCAGACATCGTATGTGCTGATCCGAATGCCGCTGGGTCTAGACTTAAGCTTTGACCTCTTCGTTGACATATTCGTTATTCTCACCACAACTATCCGAGCCAGGCCGATTGACGGGATCATTGGCCCGGAGAGTCTCCCGCATGAGGCGTTCCATGCGAGGCGGGTCAAAGATGTTCTTCGACTGGGCAAAAATTTTATCAATCTCCTCAAGCGAACGACCTTTAGTTTCAGGAAAGAACAGGTACACGGATGGCACAATGATGGCATTGATGACAGCGAAGACAATATAGTACTTATTGTGAATAGTGTTGAAGCCGATGGGAGTCACTTCAGCGAGCAGGAAGTTGAATACCCACACCGTTGCAGTGGAGAAGGCACTGACGGTAGCACGGACCTGTAGAGGGGCTAACTCGGCAGCGTAGAGAAATGTCAGACCAGAGTATCCGACTGTGAAGATAAATTGGAAGCAGAAAAGTGCAATAACGGCCACCACTAAGGCAGCAGTGCTGTCCTGGGCCTGGGGCGATGTTGTGCCGGCGAGAATACCCATACAAATAGCCATGGCTCCGGCGCTCCATGTCCTGAGCGGCCGGCGACCGAGTCTATCGATAGTAAGAAAGCGAGGAGGCCGCCGAACGGCTGCATTAGACCCATGGCTGCAGCGAGAATACGGGATTTCACATCGTCCATGCCAAGATATTCCTAGTGCGCTGTCAGAAAATCATACATTCAAAGCCATCACTTACATCCGCGACTTCAGCGTAGCAGGACGTGTTTCAAACGAAAGCTCAACAGAATGAACTCACCTGAAAAACACTGATCGCGTAGTAGGTAATCAGATTTACGCCGCACATCTGCTGAAAGAACTGGCCGGTACAGGCAAGATACGCACGGTGGAATAGACGCCGCTCATCATTTGTGAACATGGCGGTCCAGGAAGAATTTCCGCAGACAGCGAGAGTAGTTTGGACATTATGGATAATCTCGGTGACCTCATCCGAATCAGGTTCTAGCTCGAAAAGAGCCCATATTACCTTCCGAGCCTCTTGGATTTGGCCGGTCAAAATCAGCCAACGGGGAGATTCCGGGAGCATCGAAATAGAAACCATAGCCAGGATACATAAGACGGCTGGGAAGGCAAGAGGGAATCGCCATGATGCGGAGTTGTCCTTCACGAAGTAAAATCCGAGATCAACCCAGAGACCTATAGTGACACCAACGCCAACAGAAACGCCATCTGTAACGACATTCGAGCCTCGCTTATGTGTGGGTGAGATCTCAGACTGCCAAATTGGCACGGTAGCAGTGTATCCACCAATGCCAGCACCAAGGAATATTCTTGCGACGATAAACTGGGCAAAATCAAAGGAGGTTGCCATGAGAATACAGCCAATCATACAAACGAAATTGGCCCAGAAGATGACCTTCTTCCGCCCTAATCGATCACCTAGATGCGCGCATGACAAGGCTCCGAAGATGCCACCGACGGTGTAGAGAGCAATGACTGTGCCTATTCATTCATCAATCAGTAGGATATACAGAAACACTATTTCATTGACCAACCTTGAATCATCGAGTTTTCCGCTTTCAGGTCTCCCTCCGTGTTGATAGTGTCCATGCGAGGAAACTGTTTGTTGAAGGCGGGAAGTGTCAATAGACCTCCGGCCACACTCATATTGTAGCCATAACAAGTGAAGGTTGGGAACACGACCAGTGCGACTGCTGCTCTGAGAAGTGCGTTGCCGCGAAGGCCAAGTTACGGCTTCAAGCCCATGCTGGAATTGTACAAGAGATACACAAGGATAAAAAGGAAGATAGTGAATTGGGAGAAGTAAATGTGACATTGAATCCATGTAATAAGGCCGACCACAAGCTGTTATATCAATAATATCGTATCTCAGTGTCGACACGCAAGACGGTGAGCATCGACGCAGACTATGGTCGCTTGTAAATCCGGGGTCAAAATCCTAGGGTGAAACTCTCGGCCATCGGCGGTCACCGTCAAGCCAAGGGGCTTGAAACTGCTCGACGGAAGCTCAAGTCAAGTACCTAGCTAACGGATGGTAGGCGAAGCGTTGTCTTTTTCACGTCGGCGAGCGCCATCCAGGGCACGTTTTTTTTGTGCCAACGTGAAATGGACAAGGACAGACGGAGAATCGAAAATGAAATTCACCGAAGACTAAATCGATCGGTGAAATTGTGTCGAGTGGATGGATTGGCTTCATATGGCGGGGAGCGATTCTGTGCTAGTTGCCGCCGCCCAAAACATCCACGATGTCCCGATCTCCAGTTGTCACGACGCCGATGGCGCAAATGGGCGCAACAGGTCCCAAATTAGCGGATGGCGTGCAAAATAGAAGATTGCTGTGGCGCCACGGCCCGCCTGAAAAATGTTGAGTTTGTTGTCCGATGCACCTTCCATCGATATCCGCCACCGGGACCTGCAACACGATTTACCACCCACTCTGTTTCTTGAGAGCTCTCTTCAAACCAACCTGGCATCCCTACACTCTCGAACAGTGACCGCTCCCGTGGCGGTGACAATGCTGTCATGGCCCGAGCGGGAGTTAAAGAATCATCGTGACCTCGGAAGGGCTGCCCCTATTCTTGTACCTGCCTTTCTGATGGCTCGGCCATGCGCATCAGTCGGAGGCAGCCGAACACCGAATCTAAAACACGGAGTTTGTCGCAATCTTCAATTCCTGTTGATCTTGTTATCTCCCATTCCCCAAGGAACTTCAGCGATCGCCAGAAGATGCTACAGCGGCGATGACCGTCCTTCAGTGCGGCAGGTGCGCATAAACATCCCGGATGCATCACTTTCAAAGATTAAGCGGCTTCTGATACAGGCCTAGTGACCTTTTATTTCCCGGACATTTCCGGGGCCTTCAAGATATATCAACCTGCGTTGTCCTCGAGATGGTAAGGTGATCCAAGCCGTGAGCATTGATCTACATTTGTTTTTACTTATGTTTATAAATCTCTTCAGGTTTTCGATGGGGACTTTTGCAACATGGTTGTCTTTCACTATACTGATTTACTCCGGCGCCATAGCTGAAGCAACTCCGTACACGGTCTATCGTGGTACATTCGTTCAGCTTCCCCACCTTGATTCCAGCTCGGCCAAGCCGGAGCTCGCTCGAACCGAAGGTGTCCTGTGGGTCTCTTCGGAGGATGGCCGTATCAAAGGATATGATTGGCAAGTCAACGACGATGCCAGCTTCCAATCGTTCCTGTCTAGCCACAGCTGGACCGATGCTGATGTTACGGTTGTGGAGTCCAATGCTGAACAGAACGAGTTCTTCTTCCCCGGATTCATTGATACCCACATCCACGCGCCTCAGTATCCCAACCTGGGGCTGTTCGGATCAGAGGGCCTCCTCCCCTGGCTGAACGAATACACCTTCCCAATGGAAGCTAGCTTCGGCTCCAAGTCAGACCCAGAGAACAAGGACACCGACCCCAAAGACACACCACCGGCGGGCCTCCGGGTGTATGATGAAGTCGTTGCTAAGACTCTTGCCCACGGCACAACTTGCGCATCTTACTTCGCCACCATCCACGTCCCGGCCACCAATGCCCTCGCGACGCTTTGCCACAGACACGGCCAACGCGCCTTCATCGGCCGCGTCTGCATGGACAACCCCGATCAGTGCCCGTCTTATTACATTGACCAATCCGCCGATGAGGGCTTCAACGCAACAATCAGGACCATCGATTACATCAAGAAGCTGGACCCGAACGGAACATTAATCAACCCAATTGTAACTCCTAGGTTTGCCCCAAGCTGCTCAAACCACTCCCTCGATGGCCTTGGAAAATTGGCTGCATCCTATGACCCGCCCCTCTGGATCCAAACGCACATCTCCGAAAACCTGGACGAGGTTGAACTCGTCCAGCAACTATTCCCAGAGTCAGCCAGCTACGCTGACATCTACGACAAGGCTGGCCTACTTACCAACCGTACCATCCTCGCACATGGTGTGCACCTCAGTAAAGATGAGATGACTCTGATCCGCGAGCGGGGCTCCAAGGTTGCGCACTGCCCAGCATCGAACTCTGCCCTCGGCTCTGGACTTGCTCCTGTCCGTTTCATGCTCGAGCAAGGCGTCACGGTTGGTCTGGGCACGGATGTGGCTGGCGGATACAGCCCCAGTATCCTTGAAGTTGCGCGTCAAGCCAGCTTAGTGTCTCGTGTGGTTCAATATAGCGCGGAATACCAAGCGCTGTCGGGCAACAAGACATCCGATGGGGACGAGAAGCTCTTGGTCGATGAGGTACTCTATCTAGCAACGCGCGGCGGTGCAGCAGTCGTCGACATGGCGGATGATATTGGTGGCTTCGATAAGGGCATGATTTGGGATGCGCAGCTGATTGAGTTGGGTGCTGGTCTGAAGAATAGCACCACAATCCCGCTTGATGTGGCTATTCTCGCTGGTCGAGCTAAGACTGGCCGCGTTGGAAATGTGGATTTGTTTGGAAATGAGACTTGGCAGGAGCAGATCCAGAAGTGGATGTGGAATGGTGATGATCGGAACGTGAAGAATGTGTGGGTTCAGGGAAAACTGGTCCACTCCAGAGATGAGTGAGTCTTGGTTTGATTTGTACACGTAGTTGAGTGGATTTTTATACATAGTTGGTTTGATGTCGATCGAGTGTATATAAGGGGTAGGTGGAGGGCGATGTTGTCGTCGTCAGGCACGCCGGTCATTGCATATGAAGATTGAGCCAATCTGTTCATATAACCCCTGTAAAACAAGTCCCCAAATCTGAAAGTGCAGTCGTTGGGGGAGGTGTACTGGGCGCGGGACAGAGAATCGGCCATTGGCTCAATCTGCTCGTTTCACCACCTACCATACAACGAGCTATCAAGACGTGGTTATGAACCTACGTAGGACGTGCAGCTATCCCGCTTTACGAAGGGGATTAGGTGTCGTGCTGCATTCCCAGTATTGTCCTTCAACGTGAGCGCGGCTGCCGCCTGTTTCCAATACGTATGTAAGTCTGTGGAAATGTGGAGAGGCTCGACATATCCGAGCCGGTCTTCAACGAAAATAATACTGCGCCGAACACTAACGGTGCGCAGGCACCCACCCGACTCATTATCTTGGAACGTTCTACTTCACAGCATATGTATCTTTTTCCCCGAAACCCGTCTAGCTCTACCCTAATAAGTTCTCCGCGAAAACCAGAGCGCTGACTGTTTAAAAGCGAGCAGTTCTACGGCTGCTCTAGCTAGGTACAAGACCAACGGCAGCGAGTCCGCTCAACATCTGAACTAGAGCACTAATGGAGCTACTTTCTTATGTGGTAGCGGCGGGCAACCCAAAACATACCGGCACCGTAAGCAGCGGCAGCAGCCACAATATCGACACGTACGATGGAGCTAGGCTTAATTTTAGAGCTACTGGCGGAACCGTCGCTGTTAGTTCTTTTACTACCGTCCGAGCCACCGTCACTACCACCACCCCTACCGCCACTAGTCGAGCTAGTGGCGCTACAAGTCTAATTTCCAGAGTACTCGAGGGGAATTGTCGGGTCGACCATAGTATTAGCGACAATGTAGATTTTCTAGTCTGTTTATAGAGAGCAGAGTTAAAATTGGCTTTGAGAGCTGTTAATAAATCGACCTTGCCGCAAAGGAAGTAGAATAAAGCAAGGGCGGCGTTATGGGCGGTGAAGTGATACGACAGGACGAGAGTCAGTGACAAGTGGTGCGCCTCCAGTAGAAAGAACAAGTCAAGATAAAGAGAAGCTAAGCCAACGTATAGCTTGTTTAGTACCCAATTTGCTGGTAGGGAAGCTATCTCTTAGACCAGCGGAGTTCCAAAGCTTCTCACGTTTGCTCGGTCATGTGAATCTCAGGACTTCATTCTTCTAGTCTTAAGCTATCGTATCCTTCATACTGGTCTCATAGTCTGCATAGATATACATCTCCATAGAATCATGTCACATAACTTATGCCATCTCAATCTGCTCATCCTCGGTGCCCTTGTTCTTCATAACTGCCGCATCATCGGAAGGAATAACGTACGTCGCCCACTCGCGAACAGGAACTCTGTCCTGGAAGAGTCTCTCGATGTCCGCATTGCTGCGACCGGCAGTTTCACCAACGCAGAACCAGGAGTACGCTAGCAAAAACAGGGTTGTTCCTCCATAGACGAACCCGATCATCGGACCCAAATTGCCGGTGTAGTACATGTAGGGACTGGTGAAGACCATGAGCCAGACGGTGATGAAGAAGACGCCCATGGCGCACGAAGTGATCTTGTTTCTGTTACGACCAACAGACATTTCCGATGCGATGGAATATGACAGGGTGCCGATGGAGAAGTTATAGAAGATAATGTTGAGGTAGGCGAGGACGACGATGCCTATACCGATGCTACGACTGAAGGAGCCATCCTCGGACCGGGTAGTGCCGAGGCCACCGACTGCGACGAGGGAGACGAAGATACCCCCAGAGCAGACGAGAAGGTTAGTGCGACGCTTGATCTTGTTTCCGAGGACGACTGCTACACCGACAGTGATGATTTGCAGGACGTAGATAATGGTGTTTATGGTGAAGGGATCTGCGACGCCTATGGACTGTGCGAAAACCACACCATAGGTGTACCAAAACTGGATACCGTTGATCTGCTGGACGAACATGGCACCGCAGGCATAGAGGAGCTT